GTCAAACAACTTACATTTGCTGCATTCGTCTCGCAGCCGAATTCCTGCGTACGATATGCTTATCCCAGATGCGATCATGCTCTACTCTCCCCACTATCGCATCGAGGTTATCCCAATAAAATCATCCCTTGCATTGATTAACCATACTGAAATTAATAAGGGGCTGGAGGCGGTCTTTCATGAACTTACCGAAATAGATGTTCGCCTGACCCACTGGAAACTCGGAGGTTCACCATGAATGTATCCATTCGTAATAAATTTTCCACAAACCTATTTTTTGCATAAATGGAAATTGTAAATTGTATCGTGGATATCTAAGAAGGCGCTCTATTTCGACCAACCTTCTTGTGATACATGGGACACCCGCTACACTTAATTTACCATCCATAACAACTAAGATCACCCAACTGGCAAAAACTGTATGAACGCCTAGCCGTAATTCCTTTATACAGAAAACTCTTGGTCCTTAAGGTGAGCAAGCTCATGGTGGCTCCACCAACTGCAAACTGTATGAACGCCTCCAATCCTTACAAGAACTCTTGTCTTAATATCCCATTGACCTCGTACCTCCAGTACTTCCAATCTCGATTAGTCCGCATTTTTTTTTACCTAATTAACACTGTGTTTATAAAGGGCAAATTATATGTAATTGCATTGGTCTAAACCATCCTTAAAACATGTCAAATGTAATGTTCAATTTACACTTCTAACTTACTAAGGTTATTTCTATAATAAGGGTAACTATATATAATTGTAAACCGACTAAGTTCATTTATTCAATACTAAGGTTATATATATTTCTATATATATATAAACTTACTATAATATCAGTAAGTGTACGATTTCACATATTCAATTTTTAAAAAAAAATTCGGCAGCACTTTGGCACAACACAATCAAATCTCAAATAAAAACAGACTTCAATAAACACTTCTATATCATACCAACATTCTCCAAAGGCAAAATGGCCACTACTAGGCCTCCAACATCTCACGCATCATTCATTTCATAACTCATTCATTTCCATAACAAAAAAAAAAAAAAAAAAAGTTAATAACAACAATAATATCAAATAAAATGCATTATTTATAATTACAAAAAAACAAATATGTTTATTTGTAATTTTATTTTAGTTTCTTTTCATAAGTTTATTGTCATTATTTTAGTTACACAATGATATTTATTTACTTACATATATATTAATAGATTTATTTCTTTTTTCGAACATTAATTTAATAAGATGTTAATTTTTAATTTTCACTTACTTTCACTAACGATACAATAAGATTGTTCTTCAACTTTAATTTACGTAAGAGATTTGGAAAAGGTTGTTTTAGAAAATAAGTAGAATAACATGAGAATTTTTTATCTATGTTTCTTTATTATTTAGATATTATTTCAGATTTTTTGTAAAAAAATTCAGGGCAGCACTTTCGGCACAACCACAATCAAATCTCAAATCAAAAAAACTTCAAATAAACACTTCTTATATCATACCAATATTCTCCCAAAGGCAAATGGCCACTACTAGGCCTTCTAACATCTCACACATCATTAATATTCATAACAAAAAAAAAAAAAAAAAATTAAAGAACAATAACAACCAATAATAACAAAAAAAATGCATATTTATTAATTACCAAAAAATGAAATATGTTTATTTGTCATTTATTTTAGTTTCTTCAAATACATGTCTTATTTTTCATTCTATTTTAGTTACACAAATTATAATTCATAATCTTACTTTACACATATAATTAATTGAATTTAGTTCTTATTTTTAACCCATTAATTAATAACCTGTAATTTTTATTTTTTCAAAATTCAAACACCAACTAATTTTAAAATTGCATTACATAAAATACATATGAATCAATTCAACACCAACTAAAATTTTAAAATTGCATTACATAAAATTACATTGATTAAATTACATATATAATTTTGCCTAAATTATTAAAAATTCTAAATTATCATTACAATATCAAATTTTCTCTTTTCCAATTTTATCATTCTTTTCGATAACACACAATGCACAATACCAACTAAATCACAACTACAACAACTAAAACAACTAAATAACAATTTATTTTTTGTCATTCAACTACAACAACAACAAAAGAAATAGAACAATATAAAAAAAAAATGAAAGCGAAAAAAAAAAATACAAACGTACCTGAACTGACGACCGCGAACGACGAGGAGAAGAGATCCTCCGGCGACCGGCGTTGCAATAGAGCGGAGAAGGAGGCGTCAAGCGGCTGGGAGCGGCGCGGCAACAGGCTGGGACAGCGCTGCGAACGGCGGAGGAGAAGAGAAGAGGAGAAGAAAGAAGAAGAAGAAAGAAGGAGGACGCTCGTTGGGTTTAAAGCCCTAAAATTTACGACCGACCTATCGGTCACAAATTTTATTAAAATCGGTCGCAATTTTTAACTCTGCGACGTCGTTTTACTTTGCACCAAAATTGCGACCGACTCAAAGTATCAGTAGCAAATTGGTCGCAAATCCTTTGCAGAAATTTGGTGCTGATTTTAAAGCGCGCAATTTTGCGACGGAATGATACATAGTCGCAAATCGATCGCAAATCCATCTTAAACTAGTCGCAAAATGGAAAACAAACCGGTGGAAATTATTAGTGCTACAATTAGCGACTGCTTCAGTATCGATCGCAAATCCGTCTCAAATTCTGTCGCTGTTTGGTCGCAACTTGGTCGCAATATATTCACGATCACAATCATCGCAATTGGTCGCAAATCGGTCGCAAAATTGCGACCGAGGGTCGCAAAATTGCGAACCCGATAATGCTGTCAGCTAGAATTATCAATCGCAAATGTCGCTGTTTGGTCGCAACTTGGTCGCAATATATTCACGATCACAATCATCGCAATTGGTCGCAAATCGGTCGCAAAATTGCGACCGATTTGTGTCAGTAGCAATTATCAATCGCAAAACCGCGATTTTTTTGTAGTGGTCGGCTATGAATGCCTTTACTCGGATTGAATTGATCAACTATATCCTTTTCATAAGGGATATAAGATCCCATAGTCCACACTATTTTCGGGTGATGATAACTCCTCTACTTTGAAATATATCTCTAGATTTGTCACTTAATGTGGGAAATGTGGAGGGAATGATTGCTGGAAACTCAGAGTATTTGCCAGCTTTTTGATAAGACTGGCCTTTACCTGGTACTCCAATTTGAATCCCAATTTCATCTAGAATTGAGAATAAATGGAGGAGCAGTTCCATGCTTATTTTTAGAAGTTGCAGCCTGGCATTACCTTAGTTAACATTAGCCGTGTGATACAGAATGCTGGAGAATTGATCGATAAATATATGCAGCGTTTTTGAAAATATAAAACGCTCTGCACTATCGAGATCAAATATTTTATATATTTTTTAATTTTTTTAAATTTCTCCTTATCTCTCTCCTAATTACAATTTTTACATTTAAATATTATAGGATATTTTAATTTAAATTTTTTTTATTGGTAATGTTTAAAGATATTTTAGGATATTTTAAATTTCACTAAGAATATTTTAGGATGTCTCATTATTTTCCTTATTTTCGCATTTATACAGTATAGATAAATATACTAAGCATTAATCACTCTCATCTCCTAACAATAGTACTTTGATGAACATTTATTTTGGTTAGTAAAATCATTGTAAGAAAACAAATGAAAGCAAAAGAAAACAAGAATTGTTGTAAATTTAGTATTTACAATTACAATTTGTTTATTTTTATATTTTAATGGCTCAATTTTATATTTTATACTTTTTGAACTAATAAATTTGTCCTAATTAAATATATTAAGCCAGAATTTTTCATTTAAAAAAATAGTCAAAATTTTTTGCGGGATAATTAAAATAAATTATTTTTACTCACTTATTTAGAAATTTATCCTTTAAAATATTTAATTAATGAATAAAATTAGATAATCAAAAAAGAAAAGCTGAAATGTACCATGGAGTGGGGTTGAGCTGGGATGAGCTGTCTCAGTCAATTAGACGCTAGGCTGAGCTGTCCAGCTTCTGCCATGAATGTACACCATTATGGCCACGTTGCTTGTCCTAACAAGCCCTCTTTCCTGACTCACCTACCCACTCTCCTACTTAAATAACCCTACTAGTCATTTTTTTTCCACTTTAATATAAAAAACTTCATAATTTTAAATCTTAACATTAGTGCACTTCCATCTTGATTAATTATTGGTATTATTTTTGGAAAATTATTTAAATGTCATTTGGAAATGTATTCTGCTATAAATAAATTTCATAAATTTTTATTTAAAAATTTATTTAAAATTTTATAAAAATTGGCTATGTTTGGATTAAATTTTACTAAAATTAATGTAATTTATAAAATTAACAAACTTAAAAGTGTAAGTTAATAAATGATTCTGTTTCTATTTCAAAAATGAAAATTCATTAATAAATGGATGGACTTTTCCTTTAGTAGAATTAAAAGGTATTTTTCCATCTTTGTAGTGTGGATTTATTCAATTTTCCCTTGAATAATAGGGTATAAAAATTTTTTACCCCAACAAATGATATTTTTTAAAATTTATATTTATATTTTATCTTTATAAGAATTAATATAGCTTACTATTTTAACCAATGTTAAAACATTATATGGAAATGACTCATATTTCTTAAATAAAAGATCGAGTTATGGATCGTTGCGAATGAAAAAACATCCCTCTCTGAGCACTTTTCCTTGTGAGCTTGATGCGGCACTTGAGATTAGATCTAGAACAGTTGTCATATGTGATATAAATTTAAAAAAAAAAAAAAGATAAATTATGTACATTAATATTGAAGAATTTACAATAAATAAATAAATAAAAAGAATTACAGAAAGTTCCTACAAAAGGCAGTAAGTTACGTATGGATGTGTGCAGAAGGTGGGGTAGGATGGGTCAGCTGCGTAGGGGACCCTGGGGTTGAATTCTATAGCAACAGCATTTAAGGGCTGTTTTTGTCAGGTACTTTCTTATTCTTACTCTCTTCTTCGTTCTCCTCTCGTCTCCTCTCCTCGCTAACAAATCTATCTAAGTTATGAGTTTAGAATCTCTGATCTTTCTCTCTCTTGCTCTCTTAAGCGCTCGATGGAGTTCTGAAGGTTAGTGTTCCAATGGTTTTGTTCCTTTTCTTTATTAATTTTGTAATTAGAAAATCTTATGACTTCTAATAAGATCAGTAAAAGAAAACCGTTAATTAGAAAATCCTATATAAGAAATTTGATCCTCATGATGTTAGTTGTTCCATTCTTATGAGTCGATTTAAGATATAATCGTTTAGAAATATGTATATTTTTTTAAATAATCAGTTGTTTCTACCATATTTCCACCTTTCTGAAAAAAATTTTCTCCAATTTAGAAATTCCTGTCTTCTCTTTTAAGGTTGAATGGTAATTTCTTTTGATGTTTTTTCCAATTTAACTGTAGATTTATTGAGATAATTTATTAAGTTCTACTATACATTAGAATTGGAAGTATTGAAGCACCATTTTTCTTCTTACTACCAGTTGGAAAAACCAAAGAACAAAGAATCTGCCTTCTTTGTAATATTTACAAAAGGAAAAAAAGAGATAACAAAGTTAAAAGTGAGATATTCTGTATATAGTAACATTTTTTTTCCTTTTTTTAAAAAAAGATTATTCACATTTGTCTATGAAACTAAAATCTAACAAATCGTATTGAAAATGGTTTATCAGTAAAATTTAAAAATTTCAAACTATAATTATGCAAGGAGAGTTGCACAAATTAAAATATTAAAATTATAAAAAATTATATTTGCACTTAAATTTTTTCAACTGAGTTATAAAAAAAAAAAAAAAAAAAAAAAAAAAAAAAAAAAAAAAATCGTATTGAAAATGGTTATCAGTAAAATTTAAAAAATTTCAAACTATAATTATGCAAGGGAAGGTTGCAACAAAATTTAAAATATTTAAATTATAAAAAATTATATTTGCACTTAAATTTTTTCAACTGAGTTATAAAAAAAAAAAAAAAAAAAAAAAAAAAAAAAAAAAAAAAAAACTAAAAAAAAAAAAAAAAAACTCAAAAAAAAAAAAAAAAAAAAAAAAAAAAAAAAAAAAACTCAAATATTAGCATCATGAGTAGATAGCAAAACTCTATGATTTTTGATATTTGGATTTCTTGATAGTTTATTTAGTAGAAATATTTTATATTTCAAATTATAAAAATAATAGTATACAGCCAAGCACTAAAGATTTTCTAATACATTAATAAAAGAAGAACTCGAGAAAGAAAATTAGGAAAAAGAAGAACTCTAGAAAGAAAAGGCAGTTGGAATTGATAGGCATCATTATGATCGTCATTACCAACAAAAGAATAGAAAAAATGGCCAATAATAATTAATTAGATAAGGAAGAAAAAAGAAAGGAAGACAATGGATGGGTCAAAAGGCAAGACCAAGAAAGAGAAAAAGACTCATTTTATGTGTTTCTTATTTTCTAGAAAAAAAAAAATTTGTTTTTGATGATTTGTATGTTTTATTTTTTCAACTTCTCATACCAAAAAGTCTTAACCTAAGTGTTTTATATTGCTTTCATTTATAAATTTCTGAAAAAGAAGTGTGAATGTGTGAATTATGCAAAAGCATGTATTATTGATGCAAGAAAATCTTCATGTCTACTAGGTTCTATTTTTTTCATTTACAAGATAGAGAGGATGAAAGTGACTTCTAACCCATTCCTTCTAAGCTATAGCCCTAAACTATTCTTATATGGTTTTGGAACTCGAGTTAAACTCAATAAAACCCAAAAGAATATTCCATCTGTGGATTGGCTAGGGAACTACTATTCATTAGATTAACATATTTTTATTATTTTCATGAGCTATTCATTAAATTAGATTTCTCTCCTAATATGACTATGTTTGATAACAAGCGTTTTGAAAAATTAAAATATCAAATGTTATTTTTTATAGTGTTTAATAATATAATGTTTGAATTACCTTTTAAAGATTAATGTAGCATTTTATAAAAGTTTAATCTATGTAAGTTTTAATTTATATTATTTTGCGAAAAATTACTAAAACAGTTACTAACTATTAAAACAATTGAATATTTCTAAAATAGTTGATAGCTATCAAAACAGCTAATTTTGTTAAATAAATCCTATAAGTAAAAAAATAAATAAATGAGTGGAAAGTAAATTTATGATAATTAATATATTATTTATATCTTCAGCATTACTTTTGCCTCCAACAAGTTATGTGTCTAATTGTGGTGATTATGTTGTGTTTCTCTGGTCCTTTGATATTAATTGACAGATTTATAGATGGAGCTTTCTATCCTGAAATGCATGAGTTTTTGTAATCCCTCCAATCAGATAAACATAACTTAGTGAAACAGAAATCAAATTCTCTATCCAATTTCAAAACAAAAAGTACTCATTGATTCTAATTTTCACTAAATTTGAATCCAATCTTATCTAATTTTGCTTCTGTCTCTTATTTAGCAGTGTAATAATATTTTGTCCAATCAACATTCCCTTCTCTCATTTAGGGCCCCACTATTGCAATTTACAGGTCCAACTATACATGATTCTTTTAGCTTTATTTGCTCTCCTCCCACCCACTGCCCCATCCTTCTCTCTTCCTCTAAAAAAGAGCAAGAAAGGAAAAGAAAAGAAGATCCCCACTCATTACAACTAGTGAGTAAGGATCAAAAGACTTGTAGTAGACCAATCCACGAAGCTCTTTTATTATTATTATTATTATTTTTATCATTATTATTATTATTTCAATTTATTTTATTTATATATCCTTTTTTCCTTTTTTAGCTTTTTGTAGACTGACTTGAAGAACAAGGAATTATGAGGTGCAAAAAAAAAGGGGTTTGGATCAAATTGTGAAAAGGAAAACTCTTTTCTCTCAAGAAGAAAACTACTTGAAACCCATATTTAATGGAGTCACAAAGCAACAACCAGCACCAAAGCAGTAGTAACTACAACAAAAATAGTACAAAAAGTCAAAAACAAGAATCAACAGTTTCTTCACTCCAATTACTCTCTTTTGAAAACCAATCACATGAGTCTACTTCTACGGCCACCACTGTTGCCGCTGCCGCCACTGCTTCTGCGGCTTCCACGGACCCATTTGTGGGTTCCATATCCAACCAAATTAGTGTGAACCCATCACTGTCTAACTCCAATTCCGCTATAACCAAACCCACAACCAAAAGGCCGTCCAAAGACCGGCATACAAAGGTAGATGGTCGTGGACGGAGAATCCGTATGCCGGCATTATGTGCAGCAAGAGTTTTTCAATTGACCAGAGAATTAGGTCATAAATCTGATGGAGAAACAATTGAATGGCTTCTACAACAAGCAGAACCAGCCATTATTGTGGCTACTGGCACTGGTACAATTCCTGCAAATTTCTCTACATTAAATGTATCTTTACGTAGCAGTGGTACTACTATTTCAGCTCCACCGTCAAAATCCGCACCTCTCTCTTTTCATAACAGTTTAGGTTTTTATGATCCCAGCAATAATAATAGCAATGGAAGCGAAAATCGCAGAGTTATTGGGTCCAATACTTCAATGTTAGGATTCCATCACCAACTATACCCTCAAAATCTTGTTTCTGATGAGAATTACATGAGAAAAACATATAGAGAAGATCTTTTTAAAGAAACATCAATTACAACCCAACATCAATCCACCGAACCAGAAATCCACACAAATTCTAGCAAGACAAGAACTGGAGTTCAAGATCAAGAGCAACAACAACAACAAGTGGGTTCTACTAGACCATCAAATATTCTTGCAACTCCGGCAACTATGTGGGCAGTTGCAGCAGCTCCGGCAGCTACAAATGGTAGTAATGCATTTTGGATGTTACCAGTAGGAGGTAGCGCCACTAATTCATCCGCCATGGCAGAAACTCAGATGTGGACTTTTCCGACAGCTGGAGTAACTCCTATGCAGAGACTAAATTTTAGTACTGGCAGTGGTGGGCGAGTCAGCCCAATTCAACTTGGGTCAATGATAGTGCAGCAACCATTGGTGCGTGGTCAGCAACTGGGTTTAGGAGTAACAGAGAGTAGTATGAGAATTTTAGGTAGTGTTAATGCTAATTATAGCAATAGTAGGGTTGACTTGGGGATGAACTTAGAGCAACATAATAATCAAGAAAATCAGCAACAAGGTAGTGATAGTGCAGAAGAAAACCCTAATGATTCTGAGTAAGAGGTCAAGTGTTAATTTTGATATTTGTGTGTGGTTATTATAGTCATTGTTGATTGTTAGCCATGTTTGTTCAGACAGAAATAAACTTTTGTGCATATGGGTCTCTCAAACGCTTTAAATTAACGAACACCCACATTTCATCTTCTCTTTTTGTACCTTTGGCTTAATGTTGATTTTTCTTTTAGGTGAATTAGTTTCCAATTAGAATATGAAATTGCATGTCTCATGGGTGTGTAGTGTCAATTTTGTTTTTTATTTTTGTCATCCAATGTTAAAAAAGTTAGATTTTCTAAAAACACAAATGAAAATTACTTTTATGTCTAGTATATAATTAATTATTTATCGATGGCGAAATCGCATTAATTAGATGAGACACTTACACTTATTATTTTTCAACTTTCTTTTAACTGTTTGGTTCTCTTAATTTAGATTGTCAATAATTTGCATCTTATAGTTTAAAATTTTAGTTTCATCATTGATTTTTCTTCCGTAGATAATAAATTATAAAAATAAATATATTCTCTTATTCACAAAAATAAAAAACTATAAACAAGCTCTTCTACTATTACTAAATTAAAGTTTTTATATTTATTTAATTGTAAAAGAGGTCTCTATCTAGCTAGCTAACTACATGATCAGAGTTGTGGAGCCATAGCTAATATATCTTTATCAAGAAATTTTATATAAATATATGGATATGAAAAGAAGAAAAAGATATTTGTTTGTTTATATTTCAAAGCTATATTTTTGTCTTGAGCAAATAATAGAGCAATATTATAAAGGAAATGGAAGACAAGAAGACATGAGGAGAAGTAAAAGGAAATAAGACAATGTGATCCTATCTTTCTTTTTCTTTTTTTTTTAATGTGGTTTAGGATCTATCTTCATTGCATATAAGGGGTTGTTTGGCTCTTCACTTAGGAATCTGGTCCTCTACTTTTATTTATTTATTTTTTTACCTTTCACATTTCCAATTCTTGCAAAACCACATTGCCAATAACCTTGAGGCATTGTGAATTTCTCTTGCCTTTCTATACATGGTTTATTGTGATTGAACACAAGCCATGATTTTAAATTAAAGGGAGGTAAATTTTTAAATAATAAGTTGTTTTTTGTTTTTTGTTTTTTTTTTTTTTTATGGAGGGGATGATGGGTAAAATTATATTAAGGGAAAATTATTATTTCGTCTCTGAGGTTTAATTAAGTTGTTTTTTTTTTTTGTTTTTTTTTTTTATGGAGGGTGATGATGGGTAAAAAATTATTATTAAGGGGAAAATTATTATTTCGTCTCTGAGCTTTCCCATAATTATTAATATCCTCGACATTTTATACATATATTTTATAACATCCCTGAAGTTTTGCCACCGTCATATTGATTTGTCATTCCGTAAAAAAAATACACTTTTTCCTTATTTTTGGAGGAAAAAGACGAAATTTCCTTGAAAAAAATAAATTTATTTCGTCCCTGAGAGTTTGCCAGTAATTATAAGTAGTCCCGATATTTATACAAATATTTATAACGTCCCTTGAAGTTTACTTCCGTTCATATTAATTGGGTCCTTCTATAAAAAAAATAAACTTTTCTTATTTTTTGAGTGGAAAAGACGAAATTATCCTTTTATAGAGTTTTCATTGACTTAATTGTCAATCCCTTTCCTCTAAAATACCTAAAACTCAAATTTTCACCATCTTCCTCAACCCAACGCGGTCTTCATTGCCGCCACCGTGTCTCTGTTAAGTATCTCCATAACCATATCACCAACAAAACTAAAAGGGAAAATAATTATTTCATCGCTGAGGTTTGCCATAATTATTTAAGTAATCCCCGCCATTTGTACAAATATTTATAACGTCCCTGAAGTTACTTCCGTCATATTATTTGGTCATTCCGTCCAAAAAACACACTTTTTGCTGTTAATTTTTAATAGAATGATCAAACTACCCTAAATCCTCTAATCAAGGACAGAGAGATAAATGGATGAAGGGTGATGATGGCTTGATTGAGTTTGGATGTTGGGTTTTAGTTTTGGTGGTGATCTGGTTATGGAGATGATAGTTGTTTTTCCATTGACCCGGTGGTGGCAATTGAAGACCGCGTGGGTTGAGGAAAGAGTTTGCGTGAAAATGTGAGTTTTAGGTATTTTTAGAGGAAAGGGATAAAATAATGTGTTCAATGAAAAACTGTATAAAGGATATTCGTCTTTTTTACTACAAAATTAATGAGAAAAAAATGTATTTTTTTTTTATGGAAAGACCAATTAATATGACGGAAATGTTAAACCTCAGACATTAATGAAATATTTGTTATAAATAATCGGAGAGCTACATAATAATTATGGCAAATCTCAGGGACGAAATAATATTTTTTCAAAGAATAATTTCGTCTTTTCTTCTCAAAATTTAACGGAAAAAAGTGTATTTTTTTTTACGGAAGGACCAATTAATATGGACGGGTAGAAAACGAGAGATGTTATAAATAATGTATAAAAGTCGAGACTACTAAATAATTATGAAATAATTATTTTTTCAAAGAATAATTTCGTCTTTTCTTCTCAAAATTAACGGAAAAAGTGTATTTTTTTTTACGGAAGGACCAATTAATATGACGGTAGAAAACCTGAGAGATGTTATAAATATATGTATAAATGTCGGAGACTACTTAAATAATTATGACAAACAGCAGGGACGAAATAATAATTTTCCCTTATATTAATGTTCAGCTAATTCTGCACCTAGTTTTATTAGGGTCATTTGATTTCAATTTTTTATTTTTTAATTGTTATACTTTAATTTTTATTTAAATAAAAAGTAACTTACCAACACTCAATAACTAGAGTGGCATATGATACTTAAAAATCGCATATTTCACAAAAAAATTATGATGATACAGAATACAAAAAGTAAAAAATTTTATTTAAATATGATTTCATTAGTGTGTTAGGAGAAAATATGATTTCATTAAATGAAATATACTATTTAAATATGTTATTTGCATTTCTTTTTTTTTTTTATTCTATGGAAGGAGAATGTGATATAAAGAACACTAAATTTATGAAACGGATTTTGTGAATGATCTCTAATTGAAATAAAAATTTAAATTTAGTAACATAAACTGACATTCAAATTATGTGATTTTAATAAAATTAAACGTAAATATTCATATAATTTACCTAGCAAATAATTAAAGGAAATAAAAAAATATGGATAGCTTCTACTAGATAAGGTTTTAAATACTAAATGAAAGTGGACAAATGGTTAAATAAAACAAGAAAATAAAGATAAATTTGGAATTTAAATTGCAATCATGATGTTTGATGAATTGTGATTTTTTTATTTATTTTAATTATCTGGTATCCAAAACATATGGGTTTGATTAATCCAAATTTGTGGCGGGCGGACTTAAAAAGGAGGGCAAAACGCAATTCTTATCGTTTCATTTCATTTTTCGGGAGCAATGAATTGTCATCTTCTCTTTAGTATGACTTTGTCACTGGTTAAGAATAATTTCTTGGCTTATTTAGTATGATTTCTTTTTGCAATTTATTTTATAACTATATATTTATTAGCTTATGAGAGTTCTTCCTAATTAATTTTGTTTTATAATCTATCAGTGCCAATGAAAATACTAAATTAGCCATTATATGAAATTGTAACAGGATTAGGTTCATGAATTTAATATAATTTATAAGAACCGATAGGAGTATATGATAGGTTGTCATATTAAAAAGGATAATTCAATATTTTTTTTAAAAAAAAATTATTTTTTATCGATTAGAGGTCCGATTGGCCAAAATAACACTACGAACTACATAAAGGGTAGTCATGCCCTAAACTCACCAGATTGATAAAAACACTTGTGATCGAATTGAAACCATTTATTTCTGATACGAGTGAAAAACCCACTAAGATCATGTAGTAAATAGGTTTTTTTAAAAAATAATTAATAATGTAGTAATGAAAAATATGGTGAATTGGACTCTAACAAATGATTTGTTTATTTTTTAAATTAAATATCTGTATTACAATCTTGTGAAATTTTCTGAATATTAAATCATTTGATAGATAGTCCACTGGTTTGAATGTTCATAAAATACTTGTACTTGGTTTGAATTTTCAATCCCCACGAGGAAGTAAACCATACAATTTTATATTTAAACTTTCTTTACACAATGAAAGTCATGACTAGAAAAGTTGTAAATCTCTATTATTTAAACATTTAAAGTTATATTACGAATATTATTATCTCTTATAATTTCATAGTAATTTACCTCCAGAAATATTTAAATTATATTTTCTCTCAAAAATTATTTCCTTAAAAGTATATTTTCTCAAGAAGTACATCGCGAAAATAGACCATTTTGAACCAAAAGATATCAAAATTATTTAATAAACATAGTTTTATAAATCAAAAAGCTTAAATAAGTCAATTTAAAAGTTGGGGACAGCACCTGGTAAAATTCAGTTGAAAATTTAGGTATTTAGCCTGTTCTCCATGAAGCTTTGCCTAAACACAGAAAATTTGATTGCCAGAATATGGTATCTAAAGAGTGACTGAAAAATATCAGCTTATTGAACAGATTAACTCTTCTTCATCACCATTTCTAAACCAAAATGCAACTTCACCAGAACCACATTGCATAAACTAATCTTGCTAAATATAAGAATTCGTTCCAAAGCAACAGGTTAGGCTTATTAAACAAAGCAAAGGATACGAACCCATGATTCACTGTTTGTTACCGCAAGAAAATTATTATAAAAAGATTGAAGTTTCAAGACCCTATTTGCCAACCGTTAAAAACATTGAAAGCTAGCAGCAAAAATAGCATAAAAAAAAGTCATCAAGAAATGATTTCCAAACTTGTTCCTATTATTGCATCAAAGCTTCGCATCATGACTTAGGCAGAAGCAGTCTTTTTCTGCTGGAAAATGACAGCGTAGACAGGAACAATCACACCAATGCTGAAGGCAGTGAAGACGAAAAGAGGCATTTTTATTTTCTGATATTTCATCCTGTCCAGGTTGTACATGTGCTTTGCATGAAGATAGAATGGTTCATCATGGCCATGTCCATGACCTCCTCCCATTCTCTTCACGCCGGTAGAGTGGAACCCTCTGTTCACTGTCACAAGATGCCACAAATTACTTAAATCAGTTCATCTAATGCAATAAGAAAAAGTATTTTTATTTTTTTAATGAATTGACAAGCAAAACAAGAAAATATTATTTCTAATAGGATTTCAACATTAGAAAAAGCAATTGGAAGCCCCTTCAAGAAACACAAGCACACTGCAAGAACCTGTATCAAAACATGCTTTCTAGTTTCACCCTTTTCCATATTCTGCTAACGAAATTAAATTATGCTGAATTTCTTTTATCCAAATGGAAACTTGCAATTGAAGACATGATTTCAATTTGACAAACATTAATAATAACACAGCCTTCTAAAAGGGAAAATACAAATATGAAAAGAGGAACAAAATGGAAGGAATGAAGTTTCATACAAAGAGAATCACTTGATGAGTGTTCTTTCTGTTATCAACTCAAGGAACAGAATTATCACTTCTACAAGATGCTGGGACTTGGACAAGATTCTTGGGAGCATTTATAATCACAAACTCAAGAATAATATTTTTAACCAAGCACACTGAAATGACCAATCTTTAACTGCCATCCGCCAACTACACTTCAGTATCTGCAGCCCACAATCTTTTGCTAACTATAACAGATGGAGGCTTAAGACCAGCCTATGTACTAATACTGAAAAGTGTAAAATCAAGTCCATCGGTAAACAACAAACAGGCCACAGGCTCTGGCTACAGATCTAAACAGTTTTCATAGTGTTAAGCAGAACATTAAGTCTCTGCATGAGCATCAAAGTGTAACATGCTGGATAAGTCACAAATCATCTTCAGCCCAGCTGAAATATTAGCATTAAAAAAAGTTCACAGAAGTGCACAAGTATGAATCTGAAAAAGGCATGACAAGCACCTCTAGCAAGTCAGCACTTACTAGCTATAAAAAAAATATTACTACTATGCATGTTTATGAAACAAAAACGAAATATAGGGATTTTGTTTTTAAAAAAAAGGAAGGTAAGAAAGACTTCGTCTTGTATTAGCAAATTTATATATAGGTCCAAGATGCTTGATTGGACTTGCCAGTCGATTTGTCAGTAATGATTTAAGTGTGAAAGGCCCATTCAAAAGAGCGAAATCACTTACAAAAAAGTTCTATTTTGAGTTTTGACATGAGTTGAAATTGCTTACTTCCTGATCTGAGTGTACTGAATTTCAACTTATAGGAAAGGAATAAAGGAGAATTATTACTCTCCTTTTCCCTTCTTTTATAAAGTTCAGAAGCCATACAGGATAAGCAGGAAGCCCCACCATTTCTTTCCTTCTATCTTCATTTTCCCCCCTACCCATGCATAGTGCAATTATGAATTGATATATCCACACCACAGTACTGAAAACAAGCATGCTAAGCAGGCACAATCACATTATGATGTAAACAACTAAACTTAAACATCTCCTGTTTGTCAAACCCAACATAAAACTGGTCAAGCTAGAATCATTTTAAGTTTTGAACAGACTGAAATTTGCAGGGGGAAGTAAACAATTGCAAGCAGCATTAAGTGCATCCATCATGATTTACAGGTCATACAAAATGTGCAGAAACCTAATAGTCCATATTCAGTGAACAAAAGAAAAAATTTAATTGTAAGCATGTAATGATGTACAGTTTTATCGATGTAATAAATTAAAATTTCGCAACACATCCTGAGCCTATTTTCAAAGAGAGGGTCCTATATTAGATCAACAACCATGTAAGGAATCTACAAAACCTGCAAAATCCTGCACATACAAAAAATTAGAGACCCTAGCGGAGTGGACTCTATTTTTTGTATGTGAAGGACGTTGCATGTAGTTGATGACTGATAGACATTCCAGCAGATAATTCTGAATTTCCAAAGCTATTATGACACTAGCATGAAGTAAACAGAAATATATAACTGTGCACATTGCTTGTGCCTAGAACTGCCTAGTGGAGAAGCCTACAGAATAAAATGAGACATTAACATCATTTACATCAGTGAAAAGTAAGAAACTACATAATGTAGTGGCATATGTTAACATCATGGATAGCTCATTTCTAGAGAAATCTTGGCCAGCATAACAACTTTAGAAAGGAAAAGATTAAAAAGAATGAAATGACAATTATTGTGTGATGTAACTTTATATAAATGACAGTTTTTTATCCTAAACCTATGAAGACTTGAAATGAACACATAGAAGTGTCTAGAAAGTCAGTGTACTTGTGCACCAGCCTATTCACGCAAATACATGATCCACCAATCAGTTACATAGAAGTTTATTTATGCTAGAAAAAACAAACGTGAGTATGCAAAAAAGCAATGATTAATTAATAATTTACAGCGTAAAAGCAAATCTATTTCCAATTCTCCACAAAGACCTTTTACGACAAAGCATGTCACATGTTAAGGTAGATTTTATAGTAGGGTTGGATGTGTGAACGTCTGTAGCATCCAAAGAGGAAAGGGTTAACATTAGCGGATTGAATAGGATTTCTACATGTTGAGGTAGATTTTGATATTCTATTAACCGAATAAAGAAAAGGCTAGCAGAAATTCTCTAGTAGCTAAACAGTTCTGAGTTCTTCTGAAAACAATTTTTAGAAAATTGGTCAAAGTAAGTTAGGAAATATTTATAGCAAGCAATAACAGTTTTTATTGGTATTAACATTTACTCGATTATTAATTTGGTGTAATCACACAGGAACTGTAAAATACAAGGAGGTATAAAGTTTACAAATATATATACAACTGTTACTACTATATCCCAAACATTACCAGAAAACAAGGCATAAAAAGAAGGAATTGAAAATGATTGATTATGTAAATCATAACCAAGTTTAATTTTTAACGGTGTATTATAGGCATTTCTATTAATGGGTATGACGAAAATTAATCAAATTAGACTTAATAATATAAAAGGAACCAACTAAAGCATCAATTTTTTTTGTCTTCTAACAAAACATAAACCAATCCCATTAAATCTCTCCAAATCAAAATGTCAGGATCAACACTTAACAATTATCAAATCCAAAAATGAATAAAAATCGGAACCCTTTATTTATCTCCCAACAGAGATATTGAAAAGCAAAATTAAGATCCTAAATATCCCAGACTCCATTAAAAATTCCACTGCTTTCTCAACAACCAAACAAAAGCAAAAGAAACCCTAAAATGAAAAGAAGATTATTAAAATAAAAAAAGAAAAAAAGAAAAATAAAATCTTGAAGATTGAGAAAACCAACCTGACTTATGTAAAACTGATTCAGAAGCGGCTAATAACTTTGAAGCGGATCTGAGACCGTTGTTCAACGCCATCAGAGTTTTTGAAGACGACTACAAAGAGAGAGCTCTGGTCTTGCTTTTCGGGGTTTTTGGCGTTTTGGTTGTTTATTATTAAGAAAGAAGGGGTGGTTTACTCCTTCGTCGCACGTGTGAATCATGTGATGCATAGTTTTAGGGCTGCTAGATTTAGTGAGCCGGGTTGAAAACCAGTACTTTAGCCCAATTCTGTTTCCCCGCTTGGATTTTGCACCAGTTGTAGTTCACGACCAATTGTCAAGTTTTGTTCACATTACTACTGTTACTATTGTAAATTGCAAGAATGAAGTATATAATATACATTTTCATATAATATACACTTTCATATATTAGCTTGGACTGTCGTGGGCTAGGCAACTCATGCACAATCAGGCCCTCAAGGATATTTGTACATACAAGACCTCTTTTATTCTTTTTAATAGAAACTATAGTTAATAGAAGTCGTGTATGCCTGATCAACTTGGGTATGAAGGTTACTTTGTAGTGCCTAGATGTCGATTGAGTGGTAGATTAGCTTTGTTATGGAAGGAGAAGACTCAATTCAACTTATTAATTATTCCCAGTTTCATATTTACGTTAAAGTTTTATTAGGAACTAAGTCCTTTGGTTTGACCGGATTTTATGGACGCCCTGATAAACATAAATGGAAAGAGTCTTGCGATCTTTTGAAAGTTCTTAGTTACCTTGGTGTTGTTTGGGAGACTTCAACGACTTATTAAGAATAGTTGGCATCAAAACTCACTTTCATCCATTTCGGAAAAAAAAATCTCAACTTGTGGGTTAGCTCCAAAGGACTGGGGTGGAGGCTTTATTAGAAGCCGTCGACTTTGGATAGAAATGAACTCTCTTTGTTCTAAACGTTATTCAGCTTCCGTTTATCAATTTGAAGATTTTAAATGATAATGTGATTTGGCTTTGGAAGAGTTGGAGGTGTCTTGCAAACAACGATTGAAACAATTCTAGTTGAAGGGCGATGATTCCAACTCCAAATACTTTCATATTCAAGCTTCATATAGGAAAAACGTTAATAAATATTATGCCTAAAGTCGACTTTTAGTGAGTTGGTTGAACGGGGTGAGGTTATAGAGGAAACAATCACTAAATACTTTTCCTCCCTTTTCTACTCCTCTAATTATGATATGAGTGTGGTTCTATAATGTATTTTTGCAGTTGTCACTGAAGATCATAACAGTATTCGTATGACAGATTTTACAAGGGATGAGATAAAAGAAGCAGTGTTTCTCATGCATCCCAATAAATCCCTGAGGCCTAATAGGATGAATCTAATTTTCTTCCAACAATTTTGGGATATGGTTAATGGAGATGTGACTGACATTTGTTTGGATTGCCTCAATAATGGTTATCTCCCTCGTGGCTTAAATCAAACACATATTGTGCTTACTCCTAAGAAGTTCAAACATAGAGATATGACTGATTTTCTGTCGATATCCCTTTGTAATGTCCTTTATAAAGTCATATCCAAAGTTCTTACAAACATATTAAAAGTGATTTTTCATGATATATCTCTCCTTACCAAAGTGCATTTGTTCCAGGCAGGCTGATATCAGATAATATCATTGCTTATGAAATTGTCTACCATTTAAAATGTCAAATTTGTGGTAATTATGGCATGGCTGTGCTCAAAATTGATATGGACAAGGCATAAGATTGTTTAGAATGGGATTTTCTGCAAGGTATTGTGGAGAATCTTGGCGTTGTTGGATTGAGTTGGTTATGATGTGTGTAACCACAGTGGAGTATATAGTCCTAGAAGAGGGTAGGAGTTGGTGTCACACCTGACTCTAATCACCAGAGGAATTATCCGCTTTGGATCAAGCCGAATCCATCCCATACTTGATTGGCAGGATAAGCACAGTTTTGTCCCGTAGGTGAATTGGGAAACTTCCTAATAGGTCACCCATCCTAGGATTTCTGCTAAGCGAGCATGCTTAACCCTGGTGTTTTTCTTCTAACTCTCCAGCCATTCCATCAAAAGGTGCCTCTAATGATTAGTTTTTCCCTTTTCGATATATGATTCGATTCATTCCTGTGTCTCGCATTCCGCTACCTATAGCTAGCCTACCATCCTAGAAGCTCGCTAGGACCTTAACTTTACTCGCCCTCCTGGATCACTTTGATATCTTCCTAACATACCAACAGCAAAGCTAATACCCTAACATACCAACCAGCAGAAGCTAATATCTGGTCCTAGCCTACCATCCTAGAAGCTCGCTAGGACCTTAACTTTACTCGCCCTCCTGGATCACTTTGATATCTTCCTAACATACCAACAGCAAAGCTAATATCTGGTCTAGTATAAGTTTGAGCATACATCAAACTCCCTGCAACTGATGCATAAGGAATTTTCTTCATTTGCTCTCTTTCTATATTATTCCTTAGGCACTGCATTTTACTTAATTTGTCACCTTTCAATATAGGTGCAATACCCTCTAAACATGACTGCATATTGAATCTCTCTAAAATTCGATTAATATATCCTTTCTGAGACAAATCTAAAATTCCTTGAGATCGATCCCTGAAGATCTCAATACCAATTACATAGTTTGACTCACACATATCGACCATCTGAAAATTTTTAGAGAGATATTCCTTGGTTTCACGTAACAAACCAAGATCATTGCTAGCAAGCAAAATATCATCCACATATAGTATCAAAAATATAAACTTGCTCCCACTAACTTTCAGATATATGCACTGATCAACAACGTTCTCCTTAAATTCGAAAGATGTAATGGTATCATTGCAGTTAATATACCATTTTCTAGAAGCTTGTTTAAGACCGTAAATGGATTTCTTTAATTTGCAAACTAGGTGTTCGTTGCCTTTCTTTGTGAACCCCTCAGGTTGTTCCATATAAATATCCTCGTCCAAATTCCCATTTAAGAATGCAGTTTTCACATCCATTTGATGCAGCTCTCAATCAAAATGAGCTAGAAGTGCCATGATGATTCTAAGCGAATCCTTTTTGGAAACTGGAGAAAAAGTATCTCTGTAATTGATACCTTCCTTTTGAGTGAAACCTTTGGCCACAAGTCTAGCCTTAAATCGTTTAATATTGCCTTTAGCGTCGCGCTTTGTCTTAAAGACCCATTTACAACTGACGAGCTTACAACTATCAGGCAATTCGACGAGATCCCGAACACCATTATAGGCCATAGAATTCAACTCTTCCTTCATAGCTTCCATCCATTTATTAGAATCATCACTTTTCATGGCTTGTGAAAATGAAAACGGATCATTTCTTATCCTAATATCAAAGTTAGATTCCTGTAGATACACCACATAATCATCTGAAATGGCAAATCTCCTTTCTCTTTGAGATCTCCTCAAAGGTGCCAGTTGTGGTGGCTCTACTGCATTTTCAATGGCAATATTTTCTGGTGGTAATGAACCATCTCTATTATGTTGCTCATGTTCCTAAACTTGTTGCACAGGTTGAGAGGCAATAATTTATTGAGGTAAAAGGGGTGGTAGGATATCCACTCTTATCTCCTCAATATCTACTTTTCTTGGTTCCTTACTCCCATTGATTTCACCATTCTCTAAGAATCTAACATTACCGGTTTCAACTATTCTAACACTGTGGTTAGGATAGTAAAATCTGTACCCTTTTGATTTATTCGGATAGCTAATAAAATATCCAGATACCGTTCTTGAATCAAGTTTTTTTTCTCATGTGGATTATAAATTCTTGCCTCCGCTGGACAACCCTATATATGTATATGTCTCAAACTAGGTTTCCTACTAGTCCATAACTTGAAAGGAGTTTTTGGAACTGCCTTACTAGGAAGTCTGTTCAAGATATACATTGTAGTCTTTAGGGCTTCAACCCATAATGAAATTGGTACAGAAGAGTAACTCATCATACTCCTAACCATTTCCATTAATGTGCGATCATGCCTTTCAGCAACACCATTTTGCTGTGACGTACTAGGCATTGTATACTGAGCACGAATGCCATGCTTTTCAAGGAATTTGGCAAAAGGACCAAGATTTTGTCCTAATTCATCATATCTACTATAATATTCACCACCTGGATCCGACCGCACAATTTTAATCCTTTTATCTAATTGTCTCTCAACTTCTGTAATGTATATTTCAAAGATGTCAATAGCCTGAGACTTTTCATGCATTAGATAAACATACCCGTAACGAGATAGATCATCTATAAAGGTGATAAAATATTTTTCTCCAGTTAAACATGGAACAGATAATGGTCCATAAATATCTGTATGAATGATCTCAAGAAGCTCATTACTTTTTGTAGCACCTTTCTTCATATGCTTGGTTTGCTTTCCTTTTATGCAATCCATGCACAATTGGAGATCAGTGAAGTCAAGATTTTGTAAAATCCCATCCTTCATTAATCTTTCAATTCTTTCCCTAGAAATGTGTCCTAGTCTTCTCTGCCACAAGATTAAAGAATTTTCATTAATTAAGCCACGTTTTGAACCAACATTTGAATGCGAGGTTATCAAAGCTTGTGCAAATTCATGGTTCAAGGAAATTTTATATAAACCATAACATAAAGTACTGGAACCAACTGTAACAGAATTTAACAACAAACTAAATCGTCCAGAACCGAAATAAAATAGAATATCTAGCAACATCTAATTTTGATAAAGAAACCAAATTCCTAGAAAATGAAGGTACATAAAAGGTATTAAGAAGATCCATTTGATGACCAGTCTCTAAGAACAAGCGATAGGTGCCGACAGCTACCACTTCTACTCGGAGACGGTTTCCCATATAGAGAAATTTTTCATTTTCCTTCAGTTTCCTGGTTGTAAGGAATCGCTGCATTAAATTAGTCACATGAGTTGTGGCTGCTGAATCAATCCACCAAGTATTTGAGGTACTTCAGCAAAATTGGATTCATAAGATACAAAAGGAAGATTTGTACCTCTCTTTTCAAACCAAGTCTTGTGCTTGTTGCAGTCCTTCTTCACATGTCCTTTCTTGCCACAAAAGTAGCAACTTACTGTGAATTTTCCATTATGACTTTGGCTACTTTCCCTAGGTCCACTTTTCTTTGGTGGAAAGTTCTTTCTTTTTCAGAATTTTCCTTTCTTCTTCGTGACTCCATGAGATACTATAAAAGCAAGATTA